GAAACCGTGTGAATATTATAAACAGTGTAATATTTACCTGATACTAAGTGTGTGGTCAGTCTTGTTGGATATGTATAAGGATCAGGTTGATGGTGAAGGCACTCTGCTTTAATCTTCTTGGAAAGTCTTGCGATAGCTCGTCCAAGAAATTCATCCTCACCATCATCTTCAATACGAAGTCGGGATGATGCGTTGTTCTTGAATACAATGATTGAAGAGACACCAGGCGATGTGAGTACCAGGATGTCCGGAAAAAGAGCATCTTTTAGGTAATCAATGAGCGCACGTCGAGATAGGTTCTTTCCCCCCAGGTGCTGATATAAATTATGCAGTTCTCTACTGTTCCAGATGCGAGAGTGGTCGGATGTCATTTCAGTGATTAGTTCGTCCAAAGCTCTTTCCATCAAGCCGTCTGTGTTTGCTGCAGGTTTGTTGCTGAAAAACTTTACCATGCAGTCCTTGTGGTACCGTGCTTCTGCTGCATGGAGATCACTCAATGCACTATTGGTTCTAAATGCAACATCACTACTCCAAGTATCACCTCGTTTTATGGCATGTTCCAGAATATTATCTTTCCAAGCGGTCTTGTCATTGCTATACGCAGTTCGGCACAAGTATGCTTTCCTCCATCGACTTGGATTCTTTCTAGACCGTTCCAATTCACATTCTTCTCCACAGAAAAGACATTGCTTAAGAAAGTTAAATTCTCTTGCCCTTCCCCGCAATCGCTTTGGGGCGTTTGATTGATCTGATGCTTTTTCACCACTGTTCTTCCTCTTCAAGAATCTCTGGATATGGTCTTTAGAGCAGTATGTGCTAATGCAGTTTTTGTGGCATCTGAACGATTCTGCATCGGTTTCAAAAAGATCACTCACGCCATCTCCCCTTAGACGGCTTGCAATGCGGAAACTTTCTACTATTGATGAGAGGATCAGCGATTTTAATCCGCTTGTTTGGCAGATAATGCATACTTCCTCCATTATGTAGATCACTACCTAGGAAAATAATTGTATAAAAAATAAAATGTAATTGTATCTTAATTAATCTATGCAAAACTACAATGTAATAGTAATGTAAAAGGGCAAGTACTTGAAGTGTCACTTTTTCTGTTTTGTCTTTCAACTGAACTTGATTAGGGCTATCAAAATAACAAATAAATTTAACCTTCTTAGCTCTACATTCACTTTATAACATTTATACTCTTTTCACACTGGTTTTGCTTAACCCCGTACTTTGCTTAGCCCCGTACTATCCTTAACCCCGGACTATTTGTTTTGGCTTTTCACACACGATGTTTTTTGTCCCGTACTAGCGCCTATTCCGGAATAAGAAAATTCCCGCTGTTCTCACTGCATTTCGTTAACCCCGGATATCGTTAATGTTATGATTGGACATACTTCGCATCTGGCCAGCTGCGATACGCTCCATTGCGTAGTACTGGACTATTTTTCGTTTCTGTTCTCATTCATTTGCTTAGCACCGCAATTGCGGGGTTAGCAGGAGTTAGCACCACAATTGCGGAGTTAGCCCTGCTATTTTGCAGGGTTAGTTAACCCCGTACTATAGGTGGGGTTAGCCAACTTTAGCCCACTTTGGTAAAAACCAGTCTGAACAGAAAGTGGAATAGGCTTAACCCCGTACTATAGGTGGGGCTAAACCCCCCATTAACCCCACCTATAGTACGGGGTTAAGCAAAATATTGCCAGTGTGAAAACAGTATTATATTATAATCTAGTGTAATAATATACTGGATAACCTTAATATTTCAACTGCATAGAGTCATGATGAAAATAATGTATTCATTTAACATGCCATATGTTGATAAAATACTGCACTTGCAAAGTAATATGTGGGACTGTAGATCTAGAATGACTTTATTAAAACTACCACACAAGCACATCAGGATATGTTCATATCTTAGGTAGATTATACAAGAAATCAAATGTTGTCATACTTGCATATTCTAACAGAACTTTCAAACATAGCTTTTATCTTACCTGTTGTATATATCAATTACATGATGTGGTAGCCAGTTAACCAAGGGTCTAGCTCTCAGATGCTTGTTTCCATGGTGAATGTGAAGGACATGGCACTAGTCATGTGACAAGTCACCTGACTCCAACTAAATTGAAAAGTCTCAAATTTGTGTTTGGGTCATGCATTATACAAATGTGGCAGTGTACTTTATGTGATGTTCGTGCTAGATGTTTGTGTGTTTGTGAGGGGTGGGGTGTGTGTGAGGGGTGGGGTGTGTGTGAGGTGTGGGTGGGTGTGGATGTGGGTGTGTGTCAGGGTGGGGTGGGTGTGTGTGTGCGTGTTTGTATACTTGTTTGCAGGTGATAATTGCACATTTAGAAAAAAAACCTCTGAGGTCTTAAATCGTGCTCATTAATGGTTTTATTAAATGTGTAATTAAATTTATTTAGCGGCCATTTTGGCGGCCATTTTGAATTTTCGCGTTTTACGAAAAATGCTCAAGGTTTCGCGTCTGGCACTCATCGGATTCGGATTCAGCACCCTCGATTTGACAAGAAAACATCAAATAACCTTTTAAATAGCCATATAATAAGCGTTTTCATGATTTGGCGGCCATTTTGAATTTTCGCGTTTTACGAAAAATGCTCAAGGTTTCGCGTCTGGCACTCATCGGATTTGGATTCAGCACCCTCGAATTGACAAGAATCACTCAAAAAACATTGTATATATATAAAAAAAAAAAAACATGGTTCAGTCCCTTTCCTATGGGGCCTAGCCTGGACTATGGGCAGACCTAGGTTACTTTGTACAAAAGTTAAAATATCTGAGGATGTTTGAGGTGATTTGAACCATATGCAAATGACGAACTGGTCTATGCCTATTCTACGCTAACCGATTTATTTGTTGTTGTTTACATGTGACCAGCCCTTTTTCACCTTTTATCTCAGTCATACCAATAAGACAGATACCAGACCGAGTACTTATCATATTAAATCTCCTCCTTTTATAATTTACTCATTTCCCCTATCAGTATTATCCAAATCCTTTTCAAATTTAGGCAAAAACTCTAGCCTTTGTAACCCCTTTCCTCTTACTGGAGAATACACATCTGCAATTTATCATTATCTCTAAACCCTGTAAAATAACTTTCATTAGAAATCTGTAATTATAGAAAGAACCTTCGAATCTAAATGTGAACTAATCAACATAAGAACACCTTTGATGTTTGAAATACCATGAATAAAATAACGACTTCAATCCCACATTGATATCTATGTGTCTTTTATATCAGGAGTACTGTTTGTCTCTTGCAATAAGACATTATCTGCATATTTATCCTTGCACTTAGTATATATCTGATAAATTTTGTTCTCTTCCCTGGTTCCTTTTACATTTAAGAAAATAAAAGTACAAGAAAGTACAAGTTTGTGAAAATCCATCATTATAACAATAATATATTCTGAACACTTTGGAGGAAAGTGACACAACAATAACGAACCATAACCTTGTCTTCTTAATGGAATAAAAGATAAAGGTGATATTTAAGTAGTTGTAGTCCACCGAAGAAGATCCTCGAAGAAAAATTAGAAGTGAACCTTATTCTTGTAATACGTACTACTACAAATCAAATACAAAGAAATCCACACCCAGACCACACCAGAAAATCTATAACATTATCCACGGAGGCCAAAAATAAGTCAGTTTGGACTATTAGGAGTCGATGTGAATGTATTCAATATAAGAATTATAAAAATTGGAAAATTAGCAAATAAGCAAAGGTGTGAATGTATTCAATATGAGAATTGTAAAAATTGGAAAATTAGCAAATAAGCAAAGGGCTCGAGTATGAAGTGCATATGTACATGGAGAGAGACGAATAATTAGCACTCTGTTTCTCTTATAATGCTTAAAGTGACTCGGTATCATTGTTGAAGGTTAAAAAATTGTGTGACTTTGGTATGAAATGTTACTTGTTATCTTTGTTCTACTGTACTAGCCCTCTGACATACACAAAATCCCGATTTTTTTTTCAAACCACAAAGCTATTAAAAAAAATTAAGAAGGCGTCACTGGTCAACACCCTTTAACAGTGATTGACAGTAAATTCTCCCAACCGTTTTCCATGATAATAAGACAAAAATCAGGCTTTTAAAAATCTTTCAACACTTAAATGTCTGGAATGGTATAACGAGCCGATTTTTTTGTTTGATTTTACATTCACCTAAAATGTAATTAAATTGTAATAATATAGTTGGGAGAATTAAGGTATCGATCATATCAGTTTTTCCCAATTTTTATCGTTACTAATGGTCCGTTACCCCTCAAACTTTCAGATTATCTATAATCGTACATCTAGCATTGAGGTCACTACCTTAGCACAATTTTCTCTTATATTTACAATGTTACCAAGTCCCTTTAATTGATGGCGATACACTTTGGTTTAGAGAAATGAAGTGAGTACTCTACATCAGCAGGTTACAACATTACACATGTAGAGTGTTAAAGAAAAGCGATGGTAGAGATCGTTAACATTTATTTTCCTCTGTCCTTTTCGTCTTTCTCTCTTTTTCCTGTATGCTCTCATATTTCTTAGTATTCGATGTGTATGTGTGCGTGGGTAAGGGGGAGCAGATCACCCTAGCACTGGTAATGAATGAGGCGTAATGAAATATTGATCCGACATGTTCTTTTTTCTTTTTCACAGATCTAGAACCAGGTATATCTCAGCCCAAACAAAAAATTACAGAGAAATGGCAAGGCAATACGAATGTAATACGCAGTACAGTAATGTAGGCAGACTTCTAAAGCCGAGTACGGATCTGAATGCAAAGTCCAATTTATGTAATGCTTTCATATAATCACGCTTGATTGTTCCTCCAGAATAGACCAAATATCTTTGCTACTAAAGGGTACGGGCTAATTCACACTGTAGTTCAATGTCACATTACAATAAGTAACATGGTGTTTGGAGAGCACGGAAATATCATAGAGAGAAAAACGTTGTGGTTGTGAATTACCTTAACATGGCGCTGTTTTCAGCAGCAGCAAAAGGTGACGTCCTCACGATCCAATCATTAATCGACTCAGAAGACAAGTCAGAGGATTCAGGAGGAGTTGATGTAAACTGTTCGGATGCGTTTGGCAAGACGGCCCTCCACATTGCTTCAGAAAACGGACATTTGCAAACGGTTAAATGCCTAACACATCATGAAGCAAAAGTGAAGTAATCGATGCTAACCTACAGACATCGATTAACTTATGCTCACAGAAAGGCCATCGTCATGTGGTAGAGCTGTTAGTAAACGAAGGAGCAGATATTGATGTTGGTGACAAAGATGGGTTTACAGCTCTCCACATAGAATCATCTGAGGGTCACCTTGATATTGTCAAGTACCTTGTTAGATAAGGGGCACAGCTTGACAAATGTGACAAAAACGACAGGACACCCTTGTCTTGTGCTACTCAAGAAGGCTATCTTGAAGTCGTCGAGTATATCGTCAACAATGGAGCAGATATTGAAATTGGTAATAAAGATGGATTAACAGCTCTTCACAAAGCATCATTCAAGGGTCATCTTGGTATCGTCAAATACTTTGTTAGGAAAGGGGCACAGCTTGACAAATGTAACAAAAACGACAGGACACCCTTGTTTTGTGCTACTCAAGAAGGCTATCTTGAAGTCGTCGAGTATATCGTCAACAATGGAGCAGATATTGAAATTGGTAATAAAGATGGATTAACAGCTCTTCACAAAGCATCATTCAAGGGTCATCTTGGTATCGTCAAATACTTTGTTAGGAAAGGGGCACAGCTTGACAAATGTAACAAAAACGACAGGACACCCTTGTTTTGTGCTTCTCAAGAAGGCCATCTTAAAGTCGTCGAGTGTATCGTCAACAACGGAGCAGACATTAAAATTGGTGATAAAGATGGGTTAACAGCTCTTCACATAGCATCATCTAAGGGTCATCTTGATATTGTCAAATACCTTGTTAGTAAAGGGGAAGACCTAGGGAGACTTGGTAATGATTACTGGACACCTCTACACCTTGCTTTAGACGGTGGCAATCGTGACATCGCAGAGTATCTTTTGAAGGAAGGAGCCAACATTAACACGTGTGATGAAGGTGGATGTACACCTCTATATATCCCATCTCAAACTGGTAATATTGATGTAGTGAACTATATAACCAGTCAAGGAGCGGGGCTGGACAGCACTTGGTTTGGCTTCATTGGGGGGACACCTTGACATCGTCAAAGTTGTCGTTAACGAGGGGGCACAGCTTGACAAATGTAACAAAAACGACAGGACACCCTTGTTGAGTGCTTCTCAAGAAGGCCATCTTGAAGTCGTCGAGTGTATCGTCAACAACGGAGCAGACATTGGAATTGGTCTTAATGGTGGGTTTACAGCTCTTCACATAGCATCATTCAAGGTTCGTCTTGGTATTGTCAAATACCTTGCTAGGAAAGGGGCACAGCTTGACAAATGTGACAAAAAAGACATATACCTCAGCGAAGGTGCCGTTTGAATATGTACCTTGCAGGAGTATTGGATTTATCATCGTTTTGCGTTTAATATTTTGATTTTCAAATTCATCTCCTTTTCTACCACAGGTGCCGGCGGACAAAATGGCGTCGGAGCCTAGATGCCTGATGAAAATGGATTCAAGCCTTTTCAAAGCAAATCTCTTTCCAGATTTAGTATAGATTTTTGATTTCTAATTTTGAACTAAAAAATGTATTGTAATGTTAGCAATTAAGTTGTAAACCAGTATATCCTAGATGAGTAATTATATTATGAAATTATTCTATCAAAAATCCGATGTGACGATCCGCAGTCAATACTCAACAAATGATGAATTAGGCAAATGCATTCAAGTAATGTGAAATATAGAAATAGGTCATTTTGGAATATTGAAGCTTTATGAAACAAAATGACAAACCGGCAAACTAATATGCATTACAAATAAATGTATGGTCTACAACTATTAAATGCATTCAAAATTCATCGATAAAATCAGAATATTTTGCAAGTTCTGCACATCATCTAAATAATAGAGATAAATACAGCATTTTCATGGTACTTCTATATTAGCCTCATACAAGAAACAACTATTGAACGGTCTTTATATTGAAAATTTGTTAATTACTGCTGACATACAAAGGAATGGAACGATTTGGCTTTTCTTCAACTAGGGAAAATCGCAAGAAGCTTTTCGTGTAAAAGTTGTTAAACTACTAAAGAAGCCGCACGGTAAATATGCCTTTGATTGTGTTTATGTGTTTTGTAGTAGTTAGAAAGATAAAATGGCCGGATGATGGTAAATGTACAGAGAGTGAGGGAGTGGTAGTGGGTGTGTGTTTTATGTGTGTAATAGTGCACAAGTGTGTGAGTGTAACTGGGTTTTTACATACGTCTTGTAATATTTTTGTAATTTTTGTAATTTTTCCGTCAGGAGACCAACCATTTCTTTGTTTGTTTGTTTTACTTTAATACCTTATCAACAAAAACCTGTATCCAGCCAAAAGGCTGTTTTAAAGTCTGTTTACAACAAAAGACAACATTAAAGATAACATCAGTAACAATTAAACAATTCTGTACATAAAAAAATGATTACACAAAATAAATATAAGGTATGTACAATGAACAAATATGAGATATTTAAGTAAAATAATAATATTACGCTTTTATATAGCGCTTAAATCAAATGTCTCTAAACGCTTTACAGATGTAATATTACCCCGGTCATTGGATTCAATACTTGCCCACTTACACTTTGTGCACAATCTCCACTCCCTGGGGAGCATTCCAGCCAGGCGTTACTAGTACTTGACGCTCAAAAATTGTTTGACCAACAATGACGGTCGCATCCTACCGGGTAGAGAGTAGCAAGTGCAGGTTGATATCTTGCCAAAGGATGTTAGTGCCGTGTCGGGATTTGAACCCTCGACCTTCGAATCTCCAGTCAAGCGCCTTAAACCACTCATCCACGACACTCCTACTAATAGGAAAAAAAAAAAAATTACGACCGAAAAGTTCATGGTGCGAAAACGTTACTCAGGTTTTGCTAAGGTCCGTCAAAGTCAATTTTTGAGCGAAGAAAGAGAGCTAACCGTATCGTTAGACCAACTCATAATATGCAAAGAAAGAAGAGTGGAAAGGAAAAGAGGAAGGAATAGAGAGAGAAAACGAGGGATGTATGCATGTGTGTTTGTGTTTAATTTGAACAAAAGTGTGTATTAATACTTGTGTTCTGATGAATATATTTAGTTTACATCCTTAGTTTTTCATTTCTTGACGAGGGGTAAAAATCAAATGTATCGTGTACTCATTTTAAGACACCTGTATTCTTCTATGGATATTCGGTGACTGGTCCCTCAGAAACTAGTCCCAAGCCAGTCATAGAGCATTCATGATTTTACCTGAAGCCTCTTAGTGCATGGTAGATTTGATTTTTTTTGTTCAAATTTCATTTTGATATCTTTCTATATTTGATCAACATGGTGTACTGACATATGAGCTACGGCTGGAGCAATGGTTGCGGTTAACAGCGTTGGTGTATTATGTAGATTTAAAAAAAATTGTTTTCACTGGCTGCCTGCCGTAGCAACAAACGGAATTGACAAAAGACTTGACTTCGTTTCGTTGACGATCAGACATAGACGAAAGACTTCATACATGGCTGATTGTGAATGAAACGGAGTTAAGTCTTTTGTCAATACTGCTTGTTGCTACGGCAGGCAACCAGAAAAATGATCTTTTTAAATCAAATTATGGAAATGCAAGCATCAATTTGAACAAACATAACTATGTTATTCCTTGCTCAATTTTCCTGATTGAGGTGTCATATGAAAGGCCAGAAACTGAAATTTCTAGAAATGTGAATTTTGTTCGAAATTCAGATACCGCCCGCCAAATGACCTTTTGGTTCCTTCCTTCGAATTGCTTTTAATCACTCATGCGTGAAATATGAATCATATGAGTTGCATCAAATGAAAGAAGCGGATCTAAGCTTTACAAATATGTGTCATTCATTAATTATAATTGTGATTAAGTTATGATAAAACATCAATAATTCTCGGTTCCGTTTCTTCTGGGTCGCACGGTATATACAAATATATGTTTACACGTACAAATACATTTACTCAACGATATTCCTACATGTTGAGACATTATAAGGTCTCCAGGTTCAGCTTACCCCCCCCCCTCTTTCTCTCCCTCTCTCTGTCACTTTCCTCACATCTCTCTGTCTCCATCATATGTCATTATTTTGTCTCTCTCACTTTCTTTTCCTCTCTATCATTCTTTGCATCTCTGTCGTTCGCTCGCACTCTCCCTTTTTCCATCTCAGTTTCATTTTCGCCTTGTCTCTCTCCTTATTTAAAGGATTTTTCTACCAAGAAATTTACCACTGAGATTTTCGTATCGCCGTGTGTAGTTCTACAACATTTTGCGATTCATCTCCTTCTTTTCTTTCTTTATCTCTTTGATGCTAAGGAAGACGCATTCTAGAAAAAAAAAATCTTGGTGGAGGGGGTGGGAGTCGAATGGCTAAAGAGCATGAGACAATAAGTCAAAGAGAAAGGAAAATGAAGGAGAGGGGAGGGGAAACAGACATTGAGAAAAGCACAGAAATGTCGGGCAGTGAAAAAGAATGAGAATAATTGATAGAAAAACAAGTAGAAAGAGAGAAAGGGTGAGACAGCAAATATGGAAAGGGAGCAAAAATCAGGAAAGATAGTGAGAGGATGGGTTTCGTCTAGGGGATAGGGTGCGATACAAAGAGACAACTTAAAAGGAAATGTAAAAGAAAGCGAAACAAACATGTAGAAAGTCGAACATAAAGATAGTGAACAAATAGGAAAGGAAAGAAGGGACCAGAGAAGGACAAAGTATGAAGGGGAGAAAGATAGGACGAGGACACCTGAGTAAAACCATTAGGGAAAAGGCTGTACTAGCTTCATAATAATCATTACAAAGAGAAAAAAACTTTTACGTTAATGTTAAAAACACCGACTCTGGTGATTTGGTGAGGTGCTTCATTTTAATATTTCGAGTATTACAAATGATAATTACACAGTAATTGTTGGAATGGACTTAGCCTTTAGGCAACGCAACCATTTTTCTCTCACGTGCTTCATCATTGCATTTATTTCCACGAGAGTTGCCAAAACTGTTTTACGGGTTATTTCCTTACATTTGCTCATGAGTTTAATTTCATTTTCATTTCATTTCATGTCATTTCTTTATTGTGTCCATATAGGATAATTGTTTATATGCACATGAACAATCTTGCTTCAAACATATGAACATTAGAGCAACATATAATTGACATTCATAGGGCCCTGTTTTAGTATACATTTGATATAATATACATGGTCATGATGAATATACAAACATATACATTTAAATACTCTTTCTTCTTCTTCTACTTCTTCTTCTGCTTCTTCTTCTCTCTTTCTTCTTACATACCCTCCATTTTTTAAAAATTCTTATATGCTCTAATCTGAAGTAGGTATTTTGTGTTAATAATTATTTCTTGATATGGTATAACAGTAGGGGTACAACAGTAAAGTAAGTATACCAAAACAATATATATATTCGTGTAACATGTCAATGAGGGTCTTTTGCATGGTTTTCACATTCTCTATTCTTTACTGGGTTTCATTAACTACTCTTATGGAAAGTGGAATGAATGAATTAATGCGGCGACTAGTTCTTGCTTTAACAGATCTCAATCTTCGTCCGCTTCTCAGGTGTATGTACTGGTCATTAAGGGGGTGGGTAAGATCAGACATAATGGGTAGGGCCTTAGATACTCTTTCCTTACAGACTTCATCTAGGTCAACAGTATGGTTCATTATTTTGCTGGCTTGTTTTACAACCCTCCTCAGCTTTTGTTTGTCACTTTGCCTAGCATTGTTAAACCAGATAATGAAATCAAATGTAATAGTACTCTGAATTATCGACTGGTAAAAGAGAAACAGAATTCTATCGTTCACATGAAACTACTTTAACTTTCTAAGAAAATATAAGTGCTGGTTGCATTTTGTTAGTGTGCGCTTTGACTTGTCTTCCCAAGACAGCTTATTGTCGATTTCTGTACCTAGGTATCTATAACTGTCAACATTCTCAATGGTATCATCATTAAAGTATACAGGTCTATCAATGGGTTCAAAAGCTTTCTTTTGCCTAAAGTCAAAAACAATTTCTTTTGTTTTCTTTGAGTTCAGCAGTAAATAGTTTTCCCTACACCAATTTTCGAACATGGAAATGGTAGCTCTGTAATCAAGTTCATTTTCCGTTTCAATCAATCCTACTATTACTGTATCATCTGCATATTTAAGTATGTGAACAGATGGAGAATTAGATATACAGTCATTGGTGTACAGGGTATACATATACATATATATATGATATATTTAAATAAAACCCTATCGGGTACATTACGTGGACATCATAACAAAATCTTGAATTGTCACTAAATGATTAATGTTGAAGAGGTTTAGTCTAACTATTTAGACCTTTTCCCAAATTGATTGAACCAGAGGAGATAATGGCCCTTCATTAAGTCGGACAGCCAGCTCTTTCGATGTTCCATGTTTCTCTAACTCTGTCCTCGAGCCCCTTAGAAAGGGAGAATAC